CACCACCACCAAAACCACCACCACAACCACCACCCACCACCCACCACCCACCAGCAGCACCACCACCAGCACCACCACCAGCAGCTCCACCACCACCACCACCAACACCACAACCACCACCACCACCACAAACCACCACACCACCACCACCGCCACCACCATTACCACCATCACCTCAAACCACCACCACCACGAACCCACCACACAACCACCACACCACCACAGCCACCACCACCACAAACCACTACACCACCACCACCACAACAACCCACCACCACTACCACCACCACCACAATCTACCACACCACCACCGCCGCCACAACCACAGCCACCAGTGCCAGCAGCACAACCTACCACCACCACCACGCCACCACAAATCACCACAACCACCGCCACCACCACCACCACCAACCCCACCGCCACCACCACCACCGCCACCACCACAACCACAACCCACCAACACCGCCATCACAAACAACCACCACCACCACCACCCATCACCACCACCACCACCACCACAACAAACCACCACACCACCACCACAACCACCGCCACAAGCACCACCACCACCACAAACATCACAAACCACCACACCACCACCACCACCAACACAACCACCACAACCACCACCACCGCCACCACCACCACCACCACCACAACCCACCACCACCACCACAACCACTACCACCACCACAACCACCACGACAAACCACAACACCACCACCACCACCAACGCCACAACCCACCACCACCACCAGAAAACACCGCACCACCACCACCGCCATTATCACCATCACTACAACCTGCTACCACGACCACCACAACAACCACCACCATCAACAACCATACCACCATCACCATCACCACCGCCAGAACCACCAGCACCACCACCACCACCACAGCCCACCACCAACACCACCTCAGAGCGGCCCCAAGAGACGCCCATGAGGCGCCCAGGAGGCTTCACAAATGCCGTTCTGAGGCCTTCGAGAGCCCTCCGACGAGACCCCTAAAAGGCATCTGCTAGGACTCTGACACAAAACAAAAACACGGTGGCGAAGCGTTGTCGTCGCCGTCATCGTCGTCGCCGTCGTCCTCGTCGACGTTCCCCGCCGCCGCGGCCAGCCGCCGCAGGCGCCAGCGCCAGCCCAGAAAACGAAGTCGTCGTCTTCATCGACGCTCCCCGCCGCCGCCGCCAGCCGCCGCAGACGCCAGCGCTGGCCCGTGGAAGGGGGGAGAGAGGAAAAGTAGGGGAGGAGGGGGGGGGATTCGCCCCATCTTTCAGGTCTTCGAAACCGTGCGTAGTTCGAGGGTCGAGGTTCGAGGGCTGAGTTTCAAGGTCGTCGTCGTCGCTGTCCTCGCAGGGAGCATTCGTCGCCGTCGTCGTCGTGAGATGTTTGAACGCGTTCGGGTGTTTTCGAACGTATTCGACAGCTTTCTTGACAAACTATGGGAAGTTCTCGGTGGCTCTTGGAGATTCTTGCAGGTCGCCGTCGTCGACCGATTGGGAATCGAGGCTCCAGGGCCAGCATCGTGCTTTGGGGAGTTTTTGAGCCTTCTTGAGCCTGCCAGGGTTCCTGAAGACCTTTTCTGGGCATTCAGGGAGTCTCTCGACCGTGGTCCTCATTTCGGGATGTTCTGAGGCTTTGTTGGCGTCTCCGGTCGTTCTCGAGGCCTCGGCTGGAAGCGGGTGGAAGACTTGCCAGGATGGACCACGGGATGGGTCCGGAGATCTGGTTGTTGATCAAAATTTAGCCGGATCGCCATCAACGTCGTCGTCGGAGTTAGAAGAAAAAAAAAAAAAACACTACAAACATAAACTTGTGGCGCTCCGCGCGGACCTCGAGGATCCGCGCCGGACCCTCCTCCCTGGCGCGCGGAGCGCGCCAGGGGCGGCGCCGGAGGCGCCGTGGGGGGCCGCAGCGCGGATCCAAGACGTCCAGCGCGGAGCGCCGAAGGTTTCTGTCTGTGGCGCTGCAGTGCCTTCTCCGAGGAGCGGTCTCCGTCGTTGGCCGGTCGAGGCTCGAGGCCCGGGGGGTATGGGCAGGCTCATGCCGTCGCTCGGAGGTCCCTTTTCCGTGCATGCTTCGGCTCCGTGCGTGCTTTGTTTTTTTTTGCTGCTCGATGGCCCAGGATGGTCCTCGATGGCCCTCGCCGAGAAACAATGCACACGTACGAGCGGTGCCCGAGAGTCTGCTCTTCTGGGCCCGACCGAAGCCCATGGATTGAGCAGGGACCGACCGTCCCGGCATTCCTGTAGTCCTACCACGAAATGTTCTTAGAACCCAAACATGTTCTAAGAACAAAAACAATGCTCGCAGAACACATCAGCCCGACGTGCTAAAACGAGACAGACCCCGCCAGAAGTGTTCTGAGAACATCTCGTGTGGAAACCACAAAAGGCTCTCAGAACAGTGTTTGGTAGGGCTATAAGGGGGGGGCCAGGGCCAGGACGCTTCGCCACTGCTTGAAAAGGGGACAAAAGAGGCCGCGGCCGGCGGAGCCCGCGCCCGCTCTCTGCCCGCGCCCGCGCCGGCCGCCGAGCGCTCCTTCCCGGCCCACGCGCTCCCCCGGGGCGTCTCCCGTCGGGGGTTGCCAGAAGTGCCCCTGCAGGAGGTCCAAGGAGGCCCCTGCAGGACTTCCAAGGAGGCCCCCAGGATCCCCAAGGATTTCCAAGGTGCCCCCAGGACTTCCAACCCAGACCCCCGACGTCATGAATTTTTCATGACGTCGACCCCCAGCGGTATGGACCCATTCCCCAGGACCGGTTCTTCGTCCTGAGTCGTTTTTTGACGCTCCCGAGGGCCGGTAAGAGCCCCCGGAGGCCAAAAATAATGAAAAACCTCCCGTCGTGATTTTTTCATAGCTCGAGGGGGTCTGGGAAGGAGGCCCCCAGGAGTTCCTGGAAGTGCCCCCAGGCGAGCCAGGACGCCTCGCCACTGCTCGAATGCCGCCTGCGCGTGCCCTCCGCCGCCGGCGGCCCTCCGAGCGCGGCGGGCTCTCCCGGCGGGGCTCGCCCGTCGAGGCGCCGGCGCCCCGGCCGGGGCACCCCCGCGGGGCGCCCTCGCCGGGCGCCCCCCGCGGGGCTCTCGCGGGAGCCTCCGACCCAGACCCCCTCGAGTCATGAAAAAATCACGACGGGAGGTTTTTCATGATTTTTGGCCTCCGGGGGCCCTTACCGGCCCTCGGGAGCGTCAAAAAACGACTCAGGACGAAAAACCGGTCCTGGGGAATGGGCCCAGACCTCCGGGGGCCGACGTCATGAAAAAATCATGACGTCGGGGGTCTGGGGAGGAGGCCTCCTCTTGATGGGGTCTGACGAGATGGGGTCGGAGGATCGCGCCGCATCGCCGATGCATCGGCGACACATCGCCGGTGCCTCGCCGACGCATCGGCGGCGTCGGCGACGCACCGGCGCAGTCGGCGTGGAGAAACTTGGGCTCCGCATCGAGCCGCATCGCCAGTGCATCGGCGATGTGGCGCGATCCTCCGACTCCATCTGCTCGTACGGCGGGAGCAAGCTGCGGGCGCCACCTTCGAAAATAGGGGGCCTACTCTTTCTCTTCTTCTTCTTCTTCTTCTTCTTCTTCTTCTCGTTTCCTTTATCCTTTTTCCCCACGTCTCCTGACGACTTGACTGTGTTGCCGCGTGCGCTGGATCCACTGGAAGCCGGCAGAACAAGATGGAACGAAGGCGTCTAGCGCTGTGGACTAGAATACGAAACTGAAACTTGAAACTTGAAACTGCGTTGACTAAAAACTTGGACTTGAAACTAGAATAACAGACTAAAACCAGAAACTTGAAACTTGAAACTGTAACTTGAAACTTGAAACTGTAACTTGAAACTAGAATACCAGACTAAAAACTTGGACTTGAAACTTGCGTTGCGAAACGAAGGACAGTCTTAACAAACTGTAACCTGCATTATTGCTAGCGCTGTGGACTAGAATACGAAACTGTAACTTGAAACTTGAAACTGCGTTGACTAAAAACTTGGACTTGAAACTAGAATAACAGACTAAAACCAGAAACTTGAAACTTGAAACTGTAACTTGAAACTTGAAACTGTAACTTGAAACTAGAATACCAGACTAAAAACTTGGACTTGAAACTTGCGTTGCGAAACGAAGGACAGTCTTAACAAACTGTAACCTGCATTATTGCGGGAGCCACCTGCGGGAGCAAGCTGCGGAGGCCACCTGCATGCAACAGCTTAGTATCACAGCGTGTGTGTATTGCACTGGGCTGCATGTTTGCATTGCCCAATTCAGCTGGCTGGCGCCAGGACAATCGTTTAAACAGTTCATAGCAAGCGGCATCGTGAAGGTCACATGCCTGAGCTAGAAGAATCATGTCGAAACATGCGGGAACAAGCCTCTGGGGTACTCTGCACTGGAAAAAATAAGGAAGAACATACAAACATAAACATAAACTATTGGCGCTCCGCGCGGATCTCTTGGACCTGCGCCAGGGACGGCGCCGGATCCAAGAAATCCGCGCGGAGCGCCAAAAGTTTATGATTACTTGTAGCGTTGTTTTTCTTATTATTCTTAGTCTTCTTCTTCTTCGAATAGAGCTAATTGTGCACGCACTCCGCGCTCGCTCGGCTTGTGGATGTCATGACAATGGACACTTCAACCGTTCGATCTAACCGCCAGTGCCGCCCCTGGCGCGCTCCACGTGCCAGGGAGGAGGTTCCAGCGCCGATCCGAGTTGGGTCCCTCTAGAAATCCCCTGGGGGCACCGCCAGTGCCGCCCCTGGCGCGCTCCACGTGCCAGGGAGGAGGTTCCAGCGCCGATCCGAGTTGGGTCCCTCTAGAAATCCCTTGGGGGCACCGCCAGTGCCGCCCCTGGCGCGCTCCACGTGCCAGGGAGGAGGTTCCAGCGCCGATCCGAGTTGGGTCCCTCTACGTTGTTATGTGTATGGCACTGTTGGGTCCCCCTACCTTAAGCAAACAACAGGTAGCCCTCCTCATCCTTCACTCCCCCCCCCTCTCCTCCCTCCCTCTCCTCGGGGATCGAAAGATAAGCTTGAAACAGCTTTCTGAGCTCTGGGCCCCGGGGGCGTCCAGAGGCCACCTGGAACTATGCACTCTGCGGGCAAGTCCTTGCGCCAACCGTGGCGCCGATCAGCCAGCTGCCGCACGATCGGCGCGCTGGAGCTGCGAGAAAACTACTGAGAGGCATGTGCGTGATACCAAGCAGCAGGCAGCACAAAAAATGAACCCAACCACCATGCCACCGACACCAGCGAGATATTCCTAGAGAACACTCGGTCCCACAAGGGGGCCACCGAGAACGACATCGTGATGAAGACGACGCCGATGATCCAGTGTGTTGGCACGCCTAAGACCAACATCCACCACATCGAGACCTTCACATTGGACCTCATGGCGGACACCAACTGCGTGCTCACGACATCGGAGCACGGCTGGACTGCCGCGAAGCGCATCTCATACGCCCACGTGAAGCTGCCTGACGCCTCGCTGGACGGCATGGGCGAGGGCAGGAACAAGGGCAAGTTCGAGGGCAAGGCCTAGGGCAAGGGCACCTTCGTCTTCCCCACCTGAGCTGCTGCGCACGGCATCGGCACAGCTCTTTTCGGCCCCAGCTGCCTGTCATCGGCCTGTGAAGGACAAAAAAACAGCTTGCGTGAAAGAGCGCTGGGCCCTCGCGATATCTCGCGATGGATCTGTCGAGAAATAGCGAGGTCAAGCTGGATGCAAGCGCGCCCATCGTTAAGCAGACAACAGATAGCCCTCCTCATCCCTCACCCCCCCTCTACTCCCTCCCTCTCCTCGGAGATCGAAGGGAAAGTTTGAAACAGCTTTCCGAGCTCTGGGCCCCGGGGGCGTCCAGAGGCCACCTGGAACTATGCACTCTGCGGGCAAGTCCTTGCGCCAACCGTGGCGCCGATCAGGCGATTGCCGAGCGGCCCTGGCCGCCCAAACAGGGATATCCCGCCCGTGCGCCGGCCGCAGATGATTGAATGGTGCCACGGCGCCGCGCAGCTGATTAGCGGGGGATGTCGGCCCTTCTCCCATGCTTCGTTTGGTGTTTTCGCGCACATCCTCGAGGTTGCCGAGCACGCCCCGCAGCGCCGAGCACGCCGGCGGCGCTGCCGAGCACGCCCCGCAGCGCCCGCCGAGCCTCTGGCGCAGCGCCCCCGCCTCAGTGCCCCTGGCCGCCCCCCCCCCCGGGCGGGCCATGCAGCGGCCATGCAGGCGAACGCCGCCGCCGCGGGCTGGGCCTCGCGCGGGAGGGCCTCGCGCGGGAGGGCCGCGGGCGGCCGCCTCGCCCTGCCCGCCGCCCGCAGCTCGGTGAGCGGGAGGTCCTCGTCGAAGGGCGGGGCGAGCAGGATGCGCGGCCGCGGCGGCGCAGCGTCCGCGTCGGCGCGGCCGGGCCGGGCTCCAGGCCCGCGCGCCCCCACGCAGGAGCGGGAGCGCGTCGTCGCTGCAGCGCCGCCGGCCGTCGTGGGCGGGAGCCCGCCGAACGGCAGGCCCCGGGGGCGCCGGGGGGCCTCGCGCGGGAGGGCCGCGGGCGGCCGCCTCGCCCTGCCCGCCGCCGGCAGCTCGGTGAGCGGGAGGTCCTCGTCGAAGGGCGGGGCGAGCAGGAGGTCCTCGTCGCGCACGCGCCCAGGGAGCGGGATGCGCGGCCGCGGCGGCGCAGCGACCGCGCCGGCCACCGGCGCGCGCGGAGGCTCGAGCAGCGGGGGCAGCCTGGCGTCTCCCCCGGCAGCGCGCGCGGGAGGGCGAAACGTGCCGCACGCCATGCCCAGGGCAGGAGTCAAGCGGGAACTGGCAGCAGAACAAAAACTCGCGGCAGTCCGGGAACCAGAAACTTGAGCCAAAACAGCTGCCGGCGGGGCTTGGGCATGTCGTGGGTCTCTCGGGGCGCTCGCGTCGCCACGGCTGGGTCCCCCCCCCCCCCCCTCCCTCGAGGCGCCGACCAAGAGGCGCCCCCGGAAGCCCTGGAGAGGCCCAGGGGCCGATTTTTCTCTGGGCCGTCATCGCCGCCACTGGTGTCTAAAGGCGCTCTCGGATATTTTCTGATCGTTTCCGGAAGTTTTCGTTCAAAGGTTCTGTGGGGGGGTTCCTTGCCGTCGCTCGGACGTCCATTTCCCGTGCAGTTGTCGATTTCGCGCGTGTTTTTTTGGCTCGATGGTCCGGGATGGTCCTCGATGGTTCTCGCCGAGAAAAAATGCACACGTCCGAGCGATGCCAAGGGCTCTCGACGGCTCTGGGAGATTAACGGATGCCGTCGTCGTATTCGTCGTCGTTCGTTTCTGGGCCTCTGGAGACCTCCCGCCTTCTGGGTGCCTTCAGGGACCGTCGTCGTCGTCGTCGTCGTCGTCGTCAATCTTCGTAGATCTTCAGTCGTTTCGAAGGACTGGATCGCTCTCGGAGATTCTGGGTGGCTGTAGGACGTTCTCGGTCGTCGTCGTCGCTCCAGGAGGTTCGAGGGTCTGATATTTCTTCAAATCAGGGGAGCCTTCCTGGGCCTCCCTGGGCGCGCTCTCGTCGTCGCGGCTTGATAAACTACAAACTGCTATCCAAAACGCACCCCCATTGAGGGTCGCCGCCGTCGTCGTAGAGTGAAAAGGGCTCGCCTGGCAGAGCAGGGCTCACCCTCCTCCTCATGATGCTCCTCCTCCAACTCTGCTCCAGCACCTCCGCCTTCTGCCCTCACGCTGGACGCGCTTCACCCTGGCATGCCGCAGCGTCATACCGCCTCGTCCTCCTCGCCCTCTCAAGCCCTTTGAGCTCAGGAAGAGAGCAAAAGGAGCTCCGAACAACACGGCCCTTCCCCACCGCCGTCCCTCCCCGATCTCCCTCCTCCCTCCTCCTGCTTCCGCCCTCCCTCCCCCTCACCCTCCGACGGGCCCAGGAAGGGACGACCGCAGGGTCCACGTCAGCCCGAGAGGGATGGCGCACAAGGAGAATTAAGGAGCCGGACTGTATACACCGACGCTTCTTCCGGCCCCGCACTGAAATGCGCACAGGAAAAGGGGATCCTGGTGTATACGGATCCTGGTGTATACATTTGTTGATGTTCTCCCACTGGAAATGGGCCAAAAAGTATACACCACAACACCCCGACGTCGTCCACGACCCTCAAACAGTTCTGGGATTGAGAAACCGCTCGCCACTGGTAATGCATATGCTCCAGCTTCCGAAGAGGGGAGAACCAACCACAAGAGCAGAAACACAGCCGCGAGCGGGCATACCCCCTCGAAGTCGGCGCCGCTCCCAGGGGGCGAGGGCGCGGACCACGCGAGGGCGTGGGCCCCCGCCGAGGCACCAGCACGCAGCAGGAGCTCGACCGCAGGAACACCTGCCACGAGACGCCCAACCCAGAGGCCCCAGGACGTGCATCGACCCCAGGACGTGCACTGAGACCCCCTTCCACAGGAGGAGGAGACCCCAGGGCGTGCATCGACTTCTTTTTGCTTGTCGACTGCGTCCTCTTTGCTCACCGCAGCAGGCTTGCTACCAAAAAGCGGCAAACGCCTGGCAAGGCACCATCGCTCGCACAACAGGGCTGCTCAGTGGCATTTTTGTTTCTCCCCCCGGGACCGGGACCACAGCAGATTTGTGCCGAATCACAATCGTTGGTGTGGGGACGTGCATCGACTGCTGGTTGGGGACGCCACGCTTCCCGTCGCAGAAAGCCATCGACACCCGAGGAGCCCAGGGCAGCCTGGAGGCCAGCCTGGTGTCTCTTGGCATGGGCCTCCGCTGTATTCAGACAATCTTGGCATTGACTTGTTTTTGTTTGTCGACTGCGTCCTCTTTGCTCACCGCAGCAGGCTTGCTACCAAAAAGCGGCAAACGCCTGGCAAGGCGCCATCGCTCGCACAACAGGGCTGCCCAGTGGCTTTTTTTTTCTCCCAACGGGACCGGGAGACCACAGCAGATTCGTGCCGAATCCCAATCGTTGGCGTGGGGACGTGCATCGACTGCTGGTGTGGGGACGCCACGCTTCCCATCGCAGAAAGCCATCGGCACCCGAGGAGCCCAGGGCACCCTGGAGGCCAGCAGGGTGTCTCTTGGCATGGGCCTCCGCTGTATTCAGACAATCTTGGCATTGACTCGTTTTTTCTGTCGACTGCGTCCTCTTTGCTCACCGCAGCAGGCTTGCTACCAAAAAGCGGTAAACGCCTGGCAAGGCGCCATCGCTCGCACAACAGGGCTGCTCAGTGGCATTTTTGTTTCTCCCCCCGGGACCGGGACCACAGCAGATTTGTGCCGAATCCCAATCGTTGGTGTGGGGACGTGCATCGACTGCTGGTTGGGGACGCCACGCTTCCCGTCGCAGAAAGCCATCGACACCCGAGGAGCCCAGGGCAGCCTGGAGGCCAGCCTGGTGTCTCTTGGCATGGGCCTCCGCTGTATTCAGACAATCTTGGCATTGACTTGTTTTTGTTTGTCGACTGCGTCCTCTTTGCTCACCGCAGCAGGCTTGCTACCAAAAAGCGGCAAACGCCTGGCAAGGCGCCATCGCTCGCACAACAGGGCTGCCCAGTGGCTTTTTTTTCTCCCAACGGGACCGGGACCACAGCAGATTCGTGCCGAATCCCAATCGTTGGCGTGGGGACGTGCATCGACTGCTGGTGTGGGGACGCCACGCTTCCCATCGCAGAAAGCCATCGGCACCCGAGGAGCCCAGGGCACCCTGGAGGCCAGCAGGGTGTCTCTTGGCATGGGCCTCCGCTGTATTCAGACAATCTTGGCATTGACTCGTTTTTTCTGTCGACTGCGTCCTCTTTGCTCACCGCAGCAGGCTTGCTACCAAAAAGCGGTAAACGCCTGGCAAGGCGCCATCGCTCGCACAACAGGGCTGCTCAGTGGCATTTTTGTTTCTCCCCCCGGGACCGGGACCACAGATGATTCGTGCCGAATCCCAATCGTTGGTGTGGGGACGTGCATCGACTGCTGGTGTGGGGACGCCACGCTTCCCGTCGCAGAAAGCCATCGGCACCCGAGGAGCCCAGGGCACCCTGGAGGCCAGCAGGGTGTCTCTTGGCATGGGCCTCCGCTGTATTTAGACAATCTTGGATCGACAACTGTTTTTGGGGCCGGCGCCCATACGCATGCATGTCCGCGCGGGCATGCATTCTCGAAGCCGGCGCTGTGCGCAGGGGAGTGTCTGGGGCCATGCAGGGGCCCTGGACCTGGCCGCGACCGGCGAGCTCCCCCGAAAGTAGAAGAAGAAAAAACGACCATTTAAGGGGACCAGGGACACAAAAATTAAATTCAATCGCTTCGCTCATTCCGCCGGCCACTATTGTCGCACCCCTGTCGATTTCGGGGTGGATTCCAGAGGGGGTCGCAGTGACTGTGGATTTGGTGTCGGAGGTTCGTCGCAGATTCTGGTGGGGTCGTCCTGGGGCAATCGTCGGTGATCACGGGTCTGGTCGGTGATTTGCTTGTGTCGGTGAGGAGTTGATGATTCTGAATGGTCGCTGTAGGGCCATGTCACAGATCGGAGGTATTCGTCGCAAGTTTGAGCCTTTCCGTTTTGGAGGGTGGCGGCTTGTGAATGCGACCGCAGGGCAGAAGGAGGAGGAGGAGGTAGGATGAGGAGGAAGATGAGGGGGGAGGAGGAGGAAGAGGAGGAGGAGCAGGAGGAGATGAAGCCTCTTGGGCCGTCTTGGTGGTCTATTGGGCCGTTGAGGCCTTCTTTGGCGGCCTGGGGCGATGGTGGGGGCTCTTCGGCCCCTCTTGGGGCCGTTTCGGGGCGTTCTTGGGCCCGTGAGGCCGCCTCT